TCTGGCCAATGCGCTATGGTAGGAGTGATACATATCACTTTCAGGCTGGGCCTATAAAATCTCTGGAAATTCTCCATACTCTCTCTCTTTCCTCTTCTTCTGATGAGATGCAGAGTCTTCAGTGTAGGATTCCAATGCCCCAGCAGGAACCTGGGTCTCTGAATGACTGTTTAGGGCACAGATCCCCAGTGCCAACCCAAACTGGATATGATTCACGCACGAATTAAATGATGAGCGAGGAAAGGAAAGCACAGACTTGTCTGAGTTCTTAATTCCTCTCCCAGCCCCGCAAAAAGATGAACTGGCAGAGAGTGTTTGATTAGGAACATTAAATTCCTATGATTTATGCTCTTAATGGTGTACTAAATTACATGACTCATCCCCCAACCCCACCCCTGGCCCTTTCTAGCACGTTTCTGGCCCTTTGAGGAGGGGACTAGAGGAACAACATCTGTCTCCCCTGTCGTCACCTTCTGCATTGTCCTTTGTGCAGAAGCGGGTAGCTCCTGGCTGAATAGAAATTCCATGACAGTCAGAGGGTTCTTATTTAAGAAGCCACTTCCAAAGAGGTTCATTCAAGTGAGATTTCAGTGCCATGATTCGAGGCACAAAATGATCCCAACTAAGTGGCCGAGATGAAGGAGCCAAAGGTTCTTATCATTAAAACCGTAACTGGAAAAATTTTTTGTGTTAAGAAAGCGAAAGACACATACTGCTTTAAACCTGACAAAGTTTTTCCCAAATTGTGCTCTCTAAATAACAACAATGTTATTTCGTTGCTTTATACTTAGTTTTTATAATAGAGAGTTTAGAGGGATTTTTTTCCTGTACAATATTTAAGCGGGAAAACCTATCAGCTTCTCTTAAAACTAATAATCTATCATTTACTATGCTTTTGGTCACAAGCGAAAACAGAAAAAGAGAAAAGCTCTAAGCGGCTCAAATAAGAAAGGTAATTTATTGGAGCGACAGCTTCAAGTGGTGAGAGGCACGGCCAGGGTGACGGTGGCAGGAAGAGCAAATAAGCCGGTTCTTGCTCGCTCTTCCTGTCTTCCGGTCTCCCGCTCGTGCCCCCGACTGGCAGAGTCCGGCAGAGCGAGCTGGCAGAGCGGCCGCGTGGGGTGCGGGCTCAGCCCAGCATCGCAGAACTGGGCCTCGCATGGAGAGTTCGGAGCAAGAGACAAGGATAGCTTAGCAGCTATCACAGTTCCACAGAAAATCCTATTTCAAAATTGTTGTTCTGTGAAAAGATAATCAGAGAGAACACAGCCAAAAGATTTAAGAAATGAGGATTATAAAGATATGTCAGGTAGTTAATTAGTAAAAAGATTTAAGTTATTTTTCTGGATTATGTGATTTGCTTACTATCTGTTACTTTTCTGTATTTTAAATTGTGGTTTCTTTTCTCATTCTAAATAAAATAAAAAAGATTTTCCAGTGTTTCCCAGTAACACAAAGTCCCAAGAATGAAGGTGTCCAGCGACTAGCACCTCCAGATCTCTGCTCTCCCCTACACGGGGAGCCCAGGTCAGTGGGCATTTGCTTCCTTCCGGGTGCTTCATTCCCCAGAGCTTAACCCAAGTGGAGTCAGGGAGATCCTTGTGTCCCTGCCTTCCCTGACTCCTCTAAACCTCCTTCTCTCCCCTCTCGTCCCAGTCTACACTGGGGCCTCTGGAGCCCAGAGAACACCTGTCGCTCTGGGGACACTGTGCGTTGCACAGAGGAGAGGCGGAGCGTGTTTGGCTGGATCACAGAGCCACCGTTGAGCTGAGTCTGAGCTCCTTTCGGAATCACTGCTCCGCCCTCTCACAAAGCTGTATTCTATGGAGTGCAACGACCTTCTTTACTTTTTGTAGGTTGAGAGGTATATTTTCTCCTCTCTTAACTGTGACAGCCTATCTGTTTCTATGACAGCCTCTGCGATTCTGCTTGAAGTTATTTTATGTAACCAGTTTTGTATATAGGCCGACAGAACAATAACTGTAAACTCTTAGAAGGAAGGAGTGACCTTTTATGTGTTTATATTCGCTTCACGCTTTGTATCAAAATTTCAATCAGTTTTTCAGTAGCAGAGATCTGAAAAATAGTGGCTTAAACCTACGAGGCTTTTTGTTGCCATATAGGGAGGTCTCAACTTCGCCTGTCCAGGTTATGGTTACAGCAGCTCTACCAACCAGGGTTCCGCCAGCTCTCTGCTCCACCCTCTACGGGACGGCCCTGCCTTCCAACATGGCTGCTGCAGCTCCAGGCACCACTTCCACATTCCAGGGAGCAGAACAGAGAAATGGGAGGAGCGTACATCCTTCCATTTTGTTAATAAAAAAGAGAGTTCTGAAAGTCCCACTTTACCCTTCTATTTGCATCTCATTGCCCAGACCTTAGTTACGTGGTTACACCCAGCTGCAAGGAAGGCTGGAAAACGTGGTCTTTCAGCCAGTTGATACTGTGCCTGGCTGAAAATTGGAGTCTATTACTAAGGACGAGGCCAATTCATATTTGATGATAATGCTGGTAAGGTAGCAGAGTATTGGCCAAAGGACTTCTCCTTGGGGAGAAGCTTTGAAGAGATTAAAGTTTAAAAGAATAAACGTCCAGAAAGGCTGAGATGATAAAAAAGCTCTCAAGACAATTTACTCAGAGAAGAGTATTTTTAGAATCCAGAGGCCACTCCATGACCTTTTTCTTTTTAACACTGAAAATAATATTTACTGAATTATTTTATGAGTCCAGAAGTAGACCTGTTAATTTTGGAAAACTTGGGAAAAAGAAAAGAAATGCGTCCTCCTTCCTGAACCTCGAGATAATCCTAATTGACGTTTTGGTGTGCTTTACCCCAGCTTTTTTCCCACGCATAAATAATTAATTTCTAACACATGAAAAGTGATCTTTCTTGCTGTTTGCAGTGGTGTTTTAAACTGTGCTTTTAGAAAAAGGAAGGCAGCGAACAGTTTCCTCTTGCCTTTGTCTCAGGTCTGGGCTCGCACCCCATGTTCACTGCTGACGGCAGCGGCCGTGTGTCACCTCAGAGCTCGTTTCTGCGTATTTCACCAATTCCACACTTTCATACTCCCCCTGCCACTTTTTACACAAGTGCCAGCCCATCATGCGTGTGTGCCTCACCTTGCTTTTTTCACCCACACGCTATTCTGCACCTTGTTTTCAGCCATGCAAGCACAGAGTGTGCCTCTTTCATAGCCTTCCTCCCTGCAGATGTAGCCCATTTGTTAAATACTCCCTACTGGTGGGCACTTGGGTGGTTTCTAATCTTCTGTTATCACAAACAATAAACAGCCTTGTATGGATCTTATTTGCATACATGCATATATGCAAGGAATGAATTACTAGAAGTAGGATTGCTGAGTCAAGTGCATTTATAGTTTTGATAGGTATTGCCAAATTGTTCTCTACATTGATCAACCCTCCACCAACAATATATGAGAGGGCCTGTTACCCCCTGGCCTCGTCAAAAGAGTGTATTTTTAAACGTTTGGATTTTTGCCAGTCTGATATGTAAATAAAAAAAATTTATCTTGGCATAGCTTTAATTCGAATTTCTCTTATTATGAGCAAGGTTGATCCACAGCTTTAAAAACATTCCTGTCTTATCAGTGTTTCTGTTCGTTGCTTTGCCCTTCGTGACCATTTAACCATGAGATCTCTGGGCACACAATGGTCTGTTTGACTAATAAACATAAATGGGGTGGAATCCCCAGCTAAAGCTCGCAGCTGTGTTCCCTACATCTTATCCCTGAGGAAGATACCAGCTATACTCCTGCTGAATGGTTATGATTTTGACGGTCATACCTTGCTTTATTTCTAAGATATTTTAAGTCAGAAAATTGAAGGAAATGAAGGAAATTATTAAAGAGTGACTGTAAGAAGGGCAAGATGAAGCCAGGGATGAGGACAGGACACTAATATCCTTGACAATTGCTACAGGCAACTCACATCTTTGGTCAACCAAAGAGAGAAACGGGTTCAAGACAGACTACACCTCCGCAGCGCCCTGGTAGAACCTGGCTCTCCTGAGGCCATAACAGATCCGAGAGTGACTGAGGGGAGACGTTCCTGCTTCCTTGGCCCTTCTTGCCCCAGACTCAGTGCCGTGGGTCACGGGAGCAGATGGGGCAGCGACAGGATGGGGAGGAAGGGAGTCCAGCTAACGGGGAAAAGAGACAGAGGAAGAACTGAGTAGCAAGAACTGAGGAGGGAGGTGGGGAGACGCAGCTCAGAAAGTGCAGTGGCCATATGGCAGCTGCCTCCAAGTACGACCTAAACGTGGATGGGTCATTCATGCCACAGAAAAGGAAAGCATCTAACACCGCTTATCAAACCACAGGAGTTGTGGCAAACTGACGTCACCCTAGTTCTACTGGAATTCTTACATTGCCATGCAGCCTGCTTGCTGCTGTGACCTCGGTCAATTCCTTTTTGTCATCTTTGCTGCTTTTACCAGCCAAGTCGTACCTGGGGGTTGGGCTCTGCAGAAGGAGGGATTGCTTTAAGCTCAGATGTTGACAGCGGCACGCTGTAAGTAAACACTCGAGTTCCTTGCAGAGGGGAGCATACTTCTAAGAATGTTTAGGAAAGACTAGAGACCATCTTCATGTCTGTGTCAAATTACAGTACTTTGCTTTCCACTTGTCTTCATGCATAAAATTGTCACTGTAAATCTAGATTGGAAAGTTAGTCATAATATGATTGTAGCTCTGGGAGGAGATATTTGCTTATAAAAGGGAGTATGAGAAACAGAAAAAAGTGCTAAAGCACTGGGCTGAAAGTTTATCAAAAAGCTCAATGTTGTTATATTGTCTTTTCTCTCTCTCTCTCTCTCTCTCTCTCTCTCTCTCTCTCTCTCTCTCTCTCTCACACACACACACAACTATTGCTTAGTACCAAATCAAAATTGCTCTGCTTCCTTTGGTGCAGATAAAGCTGTCCTCTCTCCAGACAAACCAAACAAACCCCTTTACTTACAGCACAATATTTTGTCTTTCCAGGCATCCTATAAGCCACTGCTGAAGCAGATCGTGGAGGAAATATTTAATCCCGAGAAGGCAGATCCTGTTGATATTGAACACATGTCTTCAGGCCTCACTGATCTCCTTAAAACTGGATTTAGCATGTTCATGAAGGTAAAGTAGCCATGAAGGGGTAATCCTGAGCGTAATAACGTTCTCTTTGCTGGGCACGAAAACGCCGGCACCCTGTTAACCTGGCCAGCACCATGCAGATAACGTTCAGTATTTTGGCTCTTTTAAAATTGGGGCAATTTTTATTTACCTTTGGGTGACAAGCAGCCTAGCCCTCTAGCTTTGTACAGCTTCTTCTGACCTGAGCACCATAATCTTTTCTGATTAGGTGGAGGACCAAGCCCTCCAGGATAGCACGATTGAAATCTTCTCCTGGGGCCCGTGTTTTCACTTAACATGAATCCGTATACTACTAAATGGTCTTAGTGATCGTGCTTTGCTCTTAAATCTAGAACTTACTATGTAGGATGATGAGCAACTCTGCTCAGTCCTATGACTACCATCACCCCAAAACCCCCTTGGAAATGACTTTGTTTTTAGACCAGCTGACTCCTAGGTGACAAGTGCTAGAATTCCTCTGGCTAATATCTGGGGTGGGTCAAAATGACAGAACAGCCCCTTGAAGTAGGGATGAAGGGAGGAAAAAGTACACAGATGGGATCTATTTTTAACACACTGTAGAGTTTCTGAATTTGAAAGGATCTCAATAAGATTACAGGCTGACCTCTCAGTCTATGTCAGGATTTCAGTTGTAATAACTCTTGGAAATAACAGAATGTTTTGCCAGCTTCAAAGCATCTTTGAAATCATGAATTAATCTGCATGGGAGATCTGGCCTTTCAGAATTCAATAAATGCATATTCCAGGAAAACTCGTCCACTCCAAAAGCCAGAGGACAGACGCCAGACAGTCAGACTCGAAACCAGGCAGTAAACCGGCTGGAGCAGACACGAGGGTCTCCTTCCTGCTGGTCTCAATTATCACCAGCTTGTGTTGCAAGGCCTGGCTGGTGCATTTCCCTTCTACTTTTTTTTTTTTTTATAAAGCAGTGCAGATCAGCTTCTCTAAAGTGTTCAAGGGCTCCTGTGTTGAGTGTGAATCCAGAGTTGCCAGTGGCTCCCTGTCCTGAGCAGCCCTTCATGGTGGCTACTGGGTACAGAAACTTCCAGACTATACATGGTTTCCAAGTGTTTCCACTTGCACATTCTCAAGGAAGCTTCATTCACACGCTTGAACGTACCCCTGAAGAGAGACTGAAATAACAAGTGTGGACTTCCGGGTCCTGGTCAGGAAGGTCTGAGGATGGCCCAGTTACCCACGTGACCTTTCCCAGACAGGCTGCTGCCTTTGTGGTGCTCCAGGCCCTGCACAAGGGGTTCTGGCCAGGGAGCAAAGGAAAGCCCGATCCCCCACACTCTAAGGGGTGCAGTGCAGGGAGAGGAAGCCCCGACTCTGCTCCTTATCCAGAGGTGTTCCAGAAAAACAACTGATATCTTAGCAGAAGGTTCTGTGATCAAATGTTTTGGAATCACTGGGTTAAACTACAGATTTCATTGTTTCTTTGTAGTCCTCACAGCGCCTCTACTATGCTAATGGACTTGCAACTCTTGCGGCCGAGAATATAGAATGTATCATGGAATAGAGTCGTGTCGTGTGGGGACTGTCCACTTGCGTTTTCTGTCACTGTTTCATGAAACGAGGAGATGTCACATTTTTAATTTACCCTTTTAAATACCGCGGAGTGTTTTGCACCTCTCTGCCTGCTCAGTGCCTTCCCCAGCACTGCCTCCTATCTGCTGAGGCAGTCACAAATGCCCACCCAGGTTCAAGGGGAGGAGACGCACATTCTACGTCTTGAAAAGGGACCAGGAGCATGAGGAGCAGAAGATACCATCATGGCCACTTTTGGAAGATGCAATCTTCCAAATACGTGTTGGGCTGTCCAGCTGGGCAGGGGCAGTGTCGGGCTGGTCCTATGAGTTTTCCCTCCAGTCAAGAGGACAGAAAAATCATTCATACTTCTGATTTCAAAATAAGTGAGCCCAGAAAAGTTTCGATAATGAAAGGCCTGCTCGCTGTTTGTCTGTAATGTTTTTTAATAATATAATCTAAAAAGAAGTACTTACCGATGAGAAGCTGAGCTGCAGAACTTTCCTCTCCCAAGTTGGCTCCATCAGGGCCTATAAGGTAAACCAGACAAGTTGGAGAGAAGGGCAAGTAGACCCACCAGATCATTCTTCCTGCACTTCTGAGAAAGTGTTCCAAGTCAACCTGATGCACTTCTCAACCAGAGGGTAGACTTGTGGTTAGCCACGTAAAGCTGTCAGCTTCAAAGAGCAGCGTGTGCAGCCCACGAGGGGGCGGTCCTGTTGAACTGGGGAGAAGCAGCCTTGGCAGAACCTGACCTTCTTCAAACAGCCAAGTCTTCCCTCCAAAATCCTTGCTCAGGGAGCACCTAGGGCTCCTTAGAGGAAAGCTTGATAGTGATCTAATAAATAAATCAAAACATACCTTACCCCTCTCACTAGAATGTTAATTTAATTTAAAACTAGCATGTCTAACAGGCAGCACTTTTAAAGTGCATTTCTGGAATTTGTGGTTTGGATTTCAGCCTTATTTTTATATCTACTCCACGTGTTTGGACCTCAACTTGTTTTGACTAAAGGACATGATTTGTCAAGATGTTTCCTCTACTAGAGTCGGCATGAAGACGGTGGGTTTTATCTAATAAAACTGCATGAGGCCCCTTTTACCTCCTTTTATGTGTGCTTTTTAAGAAGTTCTTTTCTGCTGTTCCATTTCTTATGTGGCCATGCTTAGTTGGAAAAACTTAAGAAATTTTATGAAAAAGACTCACAGAAGATACAATGCCTGCCTCTGGGCCCTTTATTTGAGTTGATAAGGAGAGCTCCGTTGCCTTCCATGGCAACAGAAAGAAGCGCACGAGGAGAGATGAAACAACTGCCCAGGCAGGCTCTGAAAATCTGGTGGGGGTGAGGGAGTAACAGCTGAAACCCTTTCAGTTGGAATTAAGATGCCAACAAATTGTGATAACTGAAGGAAAGGATAATTTATTATGATGACCAAGGGGTGGCTCGGGGAACCCAAGGGCAGCAACGCGGTGGCCTCAGGAAGGACTGGAACTAAGAACTGGGAAGCCATCAAGAAACCAGACAGTTCCATGAGACCCACTCTGCCCTGCAGGTGCTGGGAACAGTGCCCAGCACGTTGCAGATGCTCGTAAACATTAGTTAAATGAACGGCTGAGTAGCTACGCCACGGCTTTGGGTTCTTCTTAACAGCCCGGCTTCGACTAAGCCCCATCCATCTTGAATCAAGCCCTGATTCTCAGGGCAGGGTTTCTAGTTGGCCCAGCCGGGGTCAGGGGCCCGTTCCGGGACCAATCAGCAGCGGCAGAAGAGCAGGATCACGTTGTAACTACACACCCGCGAGGAACCCAGCCTGTGGCCACGTGGACAGGGGACACTGTGGGCTTGTGGGTTGGACAGGTACCTACAGAGGCATCTATAGCAGGGGTAAAGGGTGCTTTGGGGTGAAGCAAAATGATGGGCTTTAGGTGAAGTTTGGTGTCAGATCCTTGGACGATGAGAGCTGGGCGTGCCTTGGAGGCCATCTCGTCCAACTCCTCATCATTCATATAAGAAAAACGAGACTCAGAGAGCGGAACTGTTGGCTTGGGTTCAGTACACGTAACAGCATTTCTGACAAGAGAAAAACACCTCAGCATTCAAGTTTGTTTATTAAATGGATACAGTTCCTCTTTGCGGCACTATTTATAACCATCGTTTATATTTTCTTCTTCTCCATCGTGCCCCATGCTATGAGGTAGGGTCTGATTTTTGTCTAACATTAGCTAAACATGATTCTTAAGTTCTAGTGAAATAGATCTTGGTACAAACCACTAAGCAAAACAAAAACTTGACTTTGGCAGTCTGTATATCGCATCAGACAGTGAGCAATCGTTGAGAGCCTCTTGTATGCTGGTCACCGTTGCAGGTAAGGGAGATGTAGAGACAAACTAGATGCGTACCCCCCCTGCCATTGGCATAGATCGTGTCCCGTAGCTTACAGTTTGTTAGGTAGGTAGATAATAAACTTGAGGACGGCAGGGAGAAGAGAGAAGTGTTAGCCGTGAGATATGGGAGCACAGACGAGGAGTAGCATCCCAGAGGAGCTGGGTTTGGTCAGCCCAGTGGGAGTGGGGGATGCAGCGATGAAATGGCCTGGTACCTTGAGGGGATCGGAGGTAGTTCCACGTGGCTGGAGCTGAGAGTGACGTGTAGGGGACAGAAGAATGCGAAGTCAGAGACAAGCAGAAGCTAGATCACAAAGGGCGACAGGTTTGAAATTTGACCGCAAACCCTGTGGTGCGTGGAATAGTTTGCAGGAATACATAACCAGTTTGCACTGCGTGAGGACCGCCCCTGCGGCACTGAGAGAGGCGGGAGGGGGGCCAGACTGGCGTGGGGAGGGAGGGTGAAGATGAGAGTCTGAGGTCAGGGTGGGCCGAGGGCATGAAGGGCAGAGAGGACGTGCTGGCGGAGCCCCCGGGGGCTGTTGACTGCTTACAGTGGAAAATGAGAGGAGGTCGTCTAGGGTCACGCACTCGGCCTGGGATGACAGGATGGACAGTGTTAACGGTGTCTCTGACGGCAGCAGGAATGGAGAAGAAGGTGACTGGCATTTTAGGCTTGCTGAGACAGCTCTGTAGCTCGCAGAGCCCGGGCCTGCAGGAGCGATCCGGAGCCATGGGTGTGTGAGGCGTTGAACTATGGGGTAGGGCCCCCCAGGGAAGGTGTTGGGAACAGGGCAGGGGCCAGAGGCCAGAGCAGTCAGGAGCACGGCATGATCCGGAGCAAGAGGAGCCCCGAGGAAGCGTCCAGGGAGGGAGGAGAGCAACTTGGGGCACTTCGGAGGCCGAGGGCGGGAGCTTCCGGCACGAGGATGGCATCAGCTGCGACAAACGCAGCAGGGGGTGAAGCCCAGCAGCTGAGGGGCTCTGGCGACGTGGAAACCTTCAGCAGTGTGATTCAATGTAAGGAAAAATCACCCACAGGCTCGGGTGATCGGCTGATGTTTCTAAAGAACTACAAGTACAGAGTTTTAAGAGATGAAAGCTGGCATTAAATAAAAATGCTTTCGGTTTGAAGACGTTGTGTCTAAGTGGCAGTGCGCGGACGCAAGGTAGACCAATTCCAACTCTGCGGCAAGACGGACTTGGATTTCAGCCTCAACCCCACAGCTTACCAGTTTGGTCATTTGGACAAGTTGTTTCTCCTCTGTAAGCCCCGGTGTCTCTGTGTGTAAAACGGGCTCACAGCTGCTTCGTAGAGTCTCGGGATTGCATGAAGCAAAGCGTGTCACCCTCCCGTCTTGATTTCCCTCCGCAGCACCCACCACCTTCCCCACTTACCAGCTCCTGACTCGCTTATTGGCTCTCACTCTCCCCTGACTAAATATAAGCTCTGTGACAGCAGGGATGCTTCTGTTTGGTTCAGCGCTGAATCCCTGAATCCCTGAATCCCTGATGCCCGGAGCAGCATCTGGCCTCATGGTAGTTGCTCAGTAAATACTTGTTGGACGGATGAACCAATGAATACAGAGCGCAGTGCTGGACAGGAGGTGTCCCCGGGCAGGGCAGTGCTGGTACTAATTCCCGTAGGGAGAAAAGCCACCATGAAGGGCCGTCTTCAAAGTTAGCCTGGGTGTTTCCTGGGCGCCTAAGGGTGCTGCACTTTCTCCCTTCTACAAGGCCCTGCCCACGGCTGGAGGACGGGGTCTGATCCTTGCCTGTTCCAGGCACAAGTGAGTCACAGTGGAGAGAAGCGGTGGAGGAGGGATCAGCAGCAGGGTTCCCAGAACTCCTGGAGAGCTCCGAGAAACCAGAAACAGCAAAAACCCTTCTCTTGACAACCCCAGCGAGAGAAGTCAGTCGGGACAGGAGCTCTCTCGGGGACCCACACCTGCCGAGCGGTCTCTGCAGCCTCGGCTGCAAAGGCTGGGCCGGAATGGCGGGAGGAAACTGTCTTCTCCACCAGCAGAGGTTTAGAAAAGAAAAGAGCAGTGACTCGAACTTGCTTTATTAATCTGTGCATTTGCAATGGCAGTAATTGTGCTTCAATCTTTCATCTTCAAAGTGCCTTATACCTTGAGCTAACACGCAAACACGACCCTGTCATGTATGGCTGATTATAAGGAGTGTGTTACTCTGATGGAAAAGATTCCACTCCCCAGTAGCCTGCTGTCCTGACAGGCTCCAAAAGGAAAGTCTGGTATCAAAACATAAATCTAAACAGAAACCAAAATAGCAAACACCAGCATGCATTAATTGAACCCATTTATTTGTACCCAAACCAACATTGCCTACACTCCTTAGCCATGGGGCATTGTCCTTTGTTGTTGCTGTTTGTCCTTTATCCCCTCTTTTCATCTTTCAATGCATCCCTCCAAGATTCTCACAATGTACTTCGGATTCCAGACTCTCTTATGGAAAGCATATGTCTTTGGGAACATATTGCACCACGTTGAAGTTCTGCAGCCAGTTTATTTGTGTTCCAGGGTGAAGTAGAAACAATTGTTTGGATGGCTAGAAGGAACCCCGGGGTTAGTTACTCAGCCAGAACTAAGGGTAAAGCAAAGGGAGAGTTTCTAAAAGATTTCTAGGGAAAGGAAGGGTATCTCCTGCTAACCTGTGGGTCTGATTCAATCGTTCATTCACCTGTTTTATTCATGCAACATTTACTGAACTTTGCTGTGTGCTCACTACTATGCTCAGTGCCTAAGATGCCAGAATAAATGTGCTTGTTCCCTGCCCCCCAGGAGCTTACAGTGTAGGAGAGGAGAGGGCAGTTAGATCGGGGCAGCAAAGCTGTCTGACAATGTGGTGCAGATAATGTCCGAACAGCTTAATGACCAGAGTGTCATGGGCACAGGCGGAGGGGACGACCCACTGCTGTGGTTCCCACCAGTGCCTGTGGGCACAGATCTTTCCTACTGATAATGGAAAATCTCCCAGCTATATAGTTGAGTAAAAAAATCAAAGTAGGCCAGGCACAGTGGCTCACGCCTGTAATCCTAGCTCTCTGGGAGGCCGAGGCGGGCGGATTGTTTGAGCTCAGGAGTTCGAAACCAGCCTGAGCAAGAACGAGACCCCGTCTCTACTAAAATTAGAAAGAAATTAATTGGACAACTAAAAATATATAGAAAAAATTAGTCGGGCATGGTGGCGCATGCCTGTAGTCCCAGAGGCAGGAGGATCGCTTGAGCCCAGGAGTCTGAGGTTGCTGTGAGCTAGGATGACGCCACGGCACTCTAGCCCGGGCAACACAGTGAGACTCTGTCTCAAAAAAAAAAAATCAAAGTATAATACAGAATGTTAGAAGTCAAGATGATTGTTACCCCTGAGGAGGCGGGGACAGGAGCCGGGCGTGAGAGGGTCTCCAGGGTGCTTTTGTTTCTTGATCTGGGTGCTGGTCACACAGGTTTGTTTGCTTTGTGAAAATCAATCGAGATGTACACTGTGATATGCATATGTCCAGCAAAGTGTTGCGTGTTTAACAGATGTTCAAAAACACAAATACCGTGCGTTCGGGCATGGCACAAATCATTGTGAAAGGCTCCAGGAAATAGTGTGTGGAGGAGGTGAAAATCGAGACATAAACAAAGCCACGTTATAAGAGCCTCATATACTGAATTAAGGAGTTCGAACTTGATCCTCAGCGCTGTGAGACTCTACACAGAGAACCCAGGCGTGGGACGGAGCGGAGAGGTGTTTCAGGGTATGGCCTCTGGAATTTGGCCCCTGGCCCCGTGATTTAGTGACTGCGTTTGAACTTCAGTCTCTTCATCTGCAAAATACACTCATAGTTTTGTTTTCCTTCTAAGGATATTTTGAGAATGAAATAAGATAATGCACAAAGATATTTAGTATAGTATTCACTGTATTCAATAATAAAGATTTATATGTTAGAAAGCTCACTGTGCAGAAGTGAGGAGACTGGACAGGGGTGGCCAGACTGGGATGGGACGGGGACGGGGACGGGGACGGGAGGGGGACCTGTGAAGAAGTCCGAGAAGAAGCGATTAGAAAGAGAGAGGGAGCAACATAGAGTGCTTCTGTGGTGGCCAGGAACAGTGTCATCAGCTGTGACAAATGCCACAGAAATGTCCACTTAGATGAAGACAAAGAAGTGTTCCTTGACTCTTGCAATCTGATGGCCGTCGGTGACTTCAGTGCGAGCAACCCCAGGGCATCGTGGGGCGAAAGCAGGGTTGTGCGTGGGGCCCGGGGCCGGGAGGGACTGCTTGTCCCAAACTTGACTCAGCCTTTCTCCTGCCCACGCCTCATCCAGCCACCTCTGCCTCCCAGATATGGCTCACAGGACCCTCTTGCCCCTTTATGTCCCCATTGCCAAGTTTAGTTATTGGTCGTTTTGCGTTTCCAAGACATGAATTACTGTGCGTCATTCCTCTTTTACTCTATGACAATACTCTGCCTCGGTGGTGGAAGCGTAAGGAGTCAGGAGGAATTCTCCCCACACCTAGGGCAGGATCCTCGCCTGGCAAGTCCCGCCAGGCCGATTCGAAGAAGTTACGGGCTGTACGTGTGCACTAGACCGTAAGCGACCGCAGAGTGGGCCCTGGTCTCTTCCATCTTTGCACACCTCTCTGCCACCACCTCCCAAGAGCTTTAACTATTCATTAATTGCACAGACATTTATTGAGCACCTCTTGTATACCAGAAATTGCACTAGGTAAGTCAGGAATTTAGCAGTGAGCCGCAGACAAGGTCCCTGTCTCGCGGAGTTTGTGCTCCGCTAGAAGAGATGGCCGACAAGCACACGAGCAAATGGCATAACCACGGGCCTTGAAGGAAACAGACAGAGCTGTGCAGCAAAGAAGGGGGAACGTTCGTGCCGAGACCTGAAGAAGAATGAGGAAGGAATAAGTTGTTCCTTCGCCTTTTCTTTATAAGTCGCTCCCACGCCTTTAACTTCTCTTTTAATAAAATCTTTATTTAAAGGGATGTAATGAGGTGAAATGTCATGCATGTTCCTGGTCAACGAGTTCACAAACCACTAGCACATCTGATAGCTGACGGCTCACAGCCTCTCTAAGGGCTCTCACCTGCATTGTGGGGCAGCAGCCCTGGGTCCCCCGGCAGTACAATGAGGACGGTGCCCGGCTGCACCCCGCCTCACCTAGGCCGTGTTCTCTTTTGCAGGTGAGCAGGCCCCATCCCAGCGACCACCCGTTCCTGATCCTCTTCGTGGTGGGCGGAGTCACGGTCTCCGAAGCCAAAATGGTCAAAGACCTCGTGGCGTCCCTGAAGCCGGGAACCCAGGTACTGAGTCCCTGGTGACATGAGCAAGAGTCCAGGGGCAGCAGTGGGAAGGGTGGGTGAGGGCCCCCTCCACGCAGGGGTCACGTGTCCCTCCCCTGGCCTGCCCCCCCATCCTGGCTGCCTTCTCTCCCCTGCGGCTGGCCCAGGGCCAGACCCCGCCCAACACGCCCTGCAGTGCCTTTGTTCGCAGTGGTGGAGGACGGGTCACCTTGGTAAGGTCCATCATGACACCAAGGAAATGAGCCCTAAATGGAAACTCTGTTCTTTGCAAAACAAACTTCTTTCCAAGTGGGGGATGGGGGGTGCTCTCCTTTTACTGTCCTGTCCTACCCTGGGCCCCAAGGGCTCAGGTGCTGCTATCCCTGCTCCTGACTCCTGCAGGGCACATATTTTCTGGTGTCCAATCAGGGCTTAATTACTCCAGAGTCTTCATGGCTTTCCAGCCTCCAGATCATCGGAGGAGGACTCCAAGGACCACCTCCCAACTGCCTTAGAGGGCAGGGCCAGGGGAGTTTAGGAAGGGACGCTGTCAAAACAATGACCGGGGTAGTGTCTTTCTCCTCTGTACCTGCTGCCCAGTCCCCACACAAGAAAGCTGGCCCTGTGGCCCAGTGGTTAGGAACACAGACCTTTCAACCTTCCAGGCCTGAGTTCTAATCCTACCTCTGCCTCTGCTTAGCCAGGTGACCTGGGAGAGAAAAGCCCTGAGATTTCTCATTAGGGAATCTCGAGTCAGGTGAGGTTTGAGGATGTGCTGCTTAGCACCAGTCAGTGGTGGCTCCAGTCATCACAGCCGTCTCTGAGCAGTCACCCCAGAGCTCTGCAGGGGGGCTCGTGGCTCGTGGCATGAGGCAGCAGGGGAAGGAGAACCCTGGCTCTGAGATGACCCAGGAAACGCAAGTGAGGGGGTCAGAAAAGAAAGGCAGTGAAGGGAGAAAAGCCAGGGAGGCTGCCCTGTCAAGCTGGGTGTGTCCCCCTGCGGTCCCCGAGGAGCTGCTATTACATGCTTCAGAACTGTCATAAAACGGGACAGGGAGGCTGGGACACCTTCCCCTCCACTCTCGTCCCACCTGCTTGAGACTTCCCTCAGAGGGCGTTGTCTTCCCAGCGCGGGGAGGTCACAGCTTTGTGCCACCGCTGCGTGCAGCTGAGCAGCTCGCGTGGTTTGCAGCAAGCGAAACAGAGGTGCGGTGCTTCAGGTGGGACCCTGGCTAGTGCAGGGCACTGCCCACCTCCGCTGCCCGGAAATCAGGTGGGTGGAGGGCAGCGGGATTCCAGCCGTCCTGGCCGCTGCGCTGTGCTCTCGCCTTTGTCTCCCACCTCTACCACTGCTGTGCGTGTCCACACAGCCAGCCCCGGGGCCCGTCCTTCCCTTCTGTGACGTCCTACCTGCTGCTTCAAGCCCTTCCCGAGTCTCTGCTCATATCCAAATCTCACACTGGGTAGTGCAGCCCTGGACTGCTCCCTGGCTGCTCCGTATCTGCTGGCCTAGTCCCCTCAACAGATATGATTTCCTTGGGGACAAAGGCTGGGGCTTCCCAGGCCTGAGCACATGGCTGGGGCGCAGTGAACCTCGACTCCGAGAGCACTGGCTTGGTGGGAGAAGTCTGTGTTGCTGCAGTGTCTGGACTACCAGATTCCTGTTGGTCTCTAGACACCCAGCTGAGGAATGGCACCTGGGTATCTGGGAGCTACAGTGGGTTCTTGAGCAGGGGAGTGACCGGTCGTTGGCTATGACTATTTCTGCTGTTACTATCACCTGTTGTGGTCACAGCTGGTGAAATTTCTGATAAATCAGTAAATTCTGCCTCATTTAACACCCTCTCTGTCCGCCGTGTTAAGGTTCTGTTTAATGAACGGTTGCCTTTTTGAGCAAGACTTTTTTTTTTTATCGGAAAGCACACTTCTCAATGCCCCCGAAACGGTGAAGCAAATTCTGAGCTCTTCGGAAAAGTGATGCATTGTAACAGCCTGACAGACACGCGGATCCCCGCTCTAATAGATAAAATGCAGACGTTTTCAAAGCGGCGTGACCTGGGTGTGACAACAGAGACACAGAATCTGCAGTGGCTTTGCTGCAGTCTGACCCTGTGCTCCGTCAGCTGCAGCGAGCACTTCTCAAAGAATCTGGGGCTCACGGTTCAGCCTTGACGGCTGCTAGTGCTTTGTGTGAAAAGCTCCCCCGAAGAGTTAACAGGCCCCAGGCCGATCCCGAAGGCAGCAGGGGAAACAGAGGGGGCGTCCTTTCTCAGTGCCCTGCGTCTCCCGGTGTTTGAAAGGGGTGGATCACCTGGTGTTCGCTGGGGTGACACCTGCGAGGGGGACCTCCCTGTCTTACACCTTGACGGACTCGCAGCTGCCCTGGCCGCGGCCGGCCGCAGATCGGAGACAGGGCAGCGTCCTGCCTCTAGAGCGCGGTGGACATCACGCCTTGCTGCGAGAGCGTGCACGCGTGTTAGCTCCATCACCGGCTCACGCTCAGACTTCTGCTAGAGGACACATGCGACCTGATCTGTGCCCAACAGGCAGACCATCTGAGACGTGTCCGGCGACCGAGAGAGTAGCTCTCACGCGATCATCGATGTAACCGGCGATAACACGCAGCCAGTGCCGCCATTCTGTCCCTGCCATCCAGGCCGTACTTGGCCATCTCCCTGGATGAGGTTCTGCCCCGCCTCCAACCGCAGCCTGCTTGAGTCTCGCAGGGCTTCGCTCCTAGCTCCAATGTCTCCTCCAGATGAAACCCAAATCTGCCTCCTTGGCACTGTCACTCAGCAGTGCTGGTTCTGGCTCCGGGGCCCACACAGAATTGTAAAGCAGACGCGGTTCATCCCTCTTCCGCGTAACAATTCTGCAGACGTATGAAGATGGCTCCCATGTCCTCCCCGCAGGTCTCTCTTCTCCAAACTGAATCTCTTTGGTTCCTAGAGTCACCCCACTCCCACTCTATGACAGGGACCTGAGCCCCCCTGACGATCGTGGCGGCTCTCCTCACGTCTCGCTCTCTTGCGCTCCGTTGGAACTGAAAGGCAAACCTTGGTGTGGACTGATCGGTAGAGAGAAATTGGGGTCGCCTCCTCCTCATCCCCACCACAGCCTGCAAGACCACGCGTGAGCCCACCCCCCATCTCTGGGGCTTCTGCTCTGGCCACTCTTCTTGTTGCTTCTGCCCTTCCAGCCACGGGGCCTTGCGTTTTTTGACTCTTGTATTCCCAGCACCTCAATCGGGGTCTGCCTCTTAGTGGGTGTTCATGAATGTTCACTGAATGTCCGATACTGAACACCAGGAACTTTACTTGGATCACTGCAGCGTAAGCGAGAAGTCGATTTTCTGGAAAAGACCACACAAACCACACCAACCTATGGATTGATACTGAGATTATAGGCGACTGAACCACTTTGTCTTTTGTATCTGTTGCTATGAGTCCATATCTTCCCTACTCTATTTCTATGTAGGTGCTTTCTGAACCCAAGTACAGGAACTTACAATCGTGTCTGTTAAGCTGGATTAACTGATTATTCAACAAGCATTTATTGAGAATCTACTCTGTGCCGAGCACTGTTCTTTGTGCTAAGGAGCAGCAACCAAGAGCAGCGACCAAGCTAGACACATTGTGATTTCATGGCACTTACGTTCTACCAGGTAGTGACTAACAATAGATGTGGAAACTTCAGCTCCTGGTAAGCAGACAGCAGAGATAGACGGTTCTGTGGTGGGAAAAGCCAGGAGGAGGAGGTTTCTCTGTGGTACGGACTCCTCATGGAGAAGGCTTTGGATCTGAGATTTGCAAAGCATTCAGGGAAAAGCTGATCAAATAGAATCCATTTAAGGCACCTGCAGAAATGAACTCTCTTTCACAAAAAATGGCAAGGATAGCATGAAGCGTAGGAAACCAGAGACCACATTCCCACCTGCTGGTCCCTTAAGGCTGCAATACTCTAAAATGGGCACGTTCTCTCCACTCTCACTGCCTGTGGCTGTTGGGAGACATGGCCAGTTGGAGAAGGTCCTCTTTCCTAACAATGAAAATAGGATCAAGAGGGCAGCTCCCCCCACCCTACCCCAACCAGCCACGAGCACCCAGTGGGACACTTTCCAGGCTTCCCCTCACCCTGACGCACATGTGGCCGACACCAGCCTCCTTCCGCGCTCATGCCTGGTGTGGGACTCCGTGGCCAGACAGCCCCGGCCGGCTGAACTCTGGTAGCTGGATGGTAGCCCAGAGGCCAGCAGAAGCCTGTGATTGTGAGCAGAAAATAACAGGGAGGGCCCCTCCCGGAAAACACAGGGCGTGGCCGTCCAGGACAAAGAGGAAGGCCCAGTGGGCAAGTTGACACTCCGACCACTGCTTTTCATAGATGGGCACATGCCCGTTGTCCACATTTCCAGAACTGAATATTTAGCGAGGACATAATTTTCAAAAAGTAGGTGCAGAAATAGGCTCTTACACACATTGTTTTGTACACAACTTTAGGGGTTCAGGGATCCCTAAATCCTGGCTCTAAGACCTGCCGCCCCCAGGTTATTCCAAAATTGATGGGAGAGGAGCTGAGTGACTTTAACAAAACACCAGAAAGAACAAAAGTGAAAAGATGACCTAAAATCTCACACTCCCAGTTCTTCTGAGCCTATGAGCGCAGCAGGCTGACTGCGGCAACGCAGAGGCAGTCAGACGGCTCATACGTGTTCAGTAAGGCAGACCCACTGTCCACTGGGTGAATGATACGAGCTCTTATGTTTAACACAGGTGTGTGCGTCCGTGTGTGTGCGCGCGCGTGTACATGTGCCGCACGTGTGCAAGGGGTTAGACAGCGCCTCCAGTATGCTATGTGCTCAAAAAACAGCTCATCGCATGGATGAATATGCACGATGGTGCTTCTGTGGGTTCCTTTTGGAAAAAATCTCCCAAATTTAAAAGAAAAAGGGAGAAAAAAATATACCCCTTGCTCCTTTTGATTTTCGGTGTTAGAAATCAGCGGGTATGGAATCTAAATCCTGGACTTCCCTGCTTCCTCCGTGCTCAGCAGAAATAGAACAGGAAGACGCTGGCCCCTGCAAATTACAGCGACGGCCGGGAAGCGGAAAGGCCAGAGGGCTGGGTCGCTCCCCAGGGCTGGGCAGCTCGTGCAGTTCAGGGCAGCCCCTCTCCCAGCTGGAGCAGAGAGCCCGTGCGGGGGCCTGGGTGCTGGAGGGAGGGACTCGGTCCCTTGGCACTCGTGGCCCCGTCTCACAGCCAGCCAGCATGTTTTTTTAATGTGAGGTTTCCCCTTTGACCCCGAGGCCCGTCGTTGATGAATGGGCTGAGTCTTCAAATGCTCCCCGATGGGACTGCACCACCCATGGGAGCTTCATCGGTGTCCACCGTCGCCTGAGAAAGCCCAGTTCTCTGAAAGGACTTCTCTCATGCTTAATTTGCCTACTATCACGAGTTTCATGACTGTGTTTAGAAAGTATAAATTTCATACCTCATAGGGCAATTTCAGCCTCTGTTGAGCGTTCTCTTTTTCATCTTTGAGTGTCTTTTTTTTTTCCCCCATTTGGGGTCCATGTTGTGGAATTTTTAGGACTATTTTAGCCAAATAATGCAGACATGCCCTTAGTTGAATGGGCCAAAAAATTCTGAAAATGCTCAAAAGCAGCCTGAATACCAAAAGGTGCCTGAGATGTGAAGATACTTAAAGACTGCCCCCAGTTATGTGTATGTTGAAATGCCAGCGGTCGGGTCCTGCTTGCTCTTCAGTGCAGGAACTTTAGACAAATAGGGTTTTCATTTAATTGATAGGAAACAAATTTACCCGGAGCTATTTGACCGTCTTTTACTAGAGCTGCCTTGAATGCAAACTTCCTGCCTCCTTGATGTCTTGTTGTTTTCGTTCACTGAATCATCCACTAGTTCACCCACTCAAAGACCTGCTGTGTCTAGGGCACTGTGTGCGGAACAAGGAGTCTCGGTTAAGGACACAGGGAATGCAGTGGGGACCGGGCAGCCTGGGGAACACGCAGGCTGGGGACGGGTGGTCTCGGGAGGCTGCCTGGAGGTGGGGATGCCTGAGCAGGTTGTTGGAGGACGACAGAGAGGTCTTTAGGCCCAGTGGGGAAATGCGCGTTCCGGACACAGCAGCGTCCGTCCGGAAGTGCTAGGCGGGAAACTGCCGGTCGTTCAGGGTGGCTGGGACGCGGGGTCGATGGGGTGGGGCGTGGGGCAGGGGAGCCACGAGGGGCTACGCAGCAGGCGGGTTCTCAGGTCCTGGAATGCTCTCTGCGAGGGCTGGCTCATCCCGTCGCCAGGAGCGACGCGGTCAGATTCTCGCGGGGGGCCTGGCGCTGGCAGCTCGCTCTCCCCTGCGGTGGCCCGGTGTCTGCCGTGAGTTGCGTGGAGGGAGTGAGGCAGGGGACACGAGTGCTGAGGGTGGAGATGACGAAGGGGACAAGAGCAGCTACCATTTAAGCCGCTCTGGAACCTGCCGCTGTGTTAAATATTTTACAAAGATGTTCCCACTTGATCCTCATCACAATCATGGGAGGTGGGTACCATTATTCCCACTTTACAGATGAGGAAACTGAGGCTCAGCACGATTAAGCAACTGCCTCAGCATCATCCATCTGGCAAGTGGCCCGGCTGGGATCCAACTCACATTGGAAGCTCCTAAACCTACGCTTCTTAGCCACTCTCCTTTCCAGAAGAATCCTTGGCCTCAGCTCTGCTTTCTCCCCTCGGCGAAGGCCCCCGACCTACTTCAGGAGCTGCCGCCTGCTCCGTCTGTTTCTTTTCACCCGTCCACAGCGCAGGCCCCAGACGGCCTCTGGTCCGGCCCTACAAAGCTGTAGGCTACGCCGTCACACACCCGCCCGTCTGCACGTGCGGAGCCTGGTCGTGGTGGCGGCCGGGTCCCCAGTGTCCGTCGGCCGTGCCGCAAGCCCGGCGTGCTGCCGCCTGAGCGTGGTGGACCCCTCGGGCTCGGCCACTGCTGCTCTGGAGTGTGATGCCACCTGCGTCCGTAGCCTTTTCTCCCCACGCTCCTCAGACCTGCGACAAGACGTAGCACCCTGGACCCGCCCTGGCCTCAGCCGGAGGGGACCACCACCTTTGCGTTGGAGCCGAGGCCCGCAGGGCTGGCGGCGCGGGGGGCACTGGTGGGGCACAGGGGAGGAGAGGGTCCTTCGCCTCCACTGCCTCGGAAGAGTCGACTTCCAAAGAGTGTGCAAAGAATGTCTGTGTGTGTGTATTTTAAAATATCTGAATAAGGGCTTCTTCTTAACTGTGGTCTGTGAATCCCTAGGAGTCCCCGAACCACCCCTAAAACTATACTCAAAAGCTTGTGTATCTGAATATATATATATTCTTCTAGAGAGTTCTTGGCTTTCATAAGATTCAAAAGGTCTATGACCAGTCACAAAACCGCAACCAGACGGCGGCCCGCCGTTGCCGAGCACTTGTGGGGCTGCGCGGACGCGATCTCGCGTCATCCTCGCTGCGGCGCCTCGGCTTGGGGCTGTTACCTCCTTCTTGGACAGAGGAGGCGAAGGGGGCTCTGGGTCCTGTCACTTCCCGGGGGGCATCTGGCCAGTCGGCAGTGGGGCTGGGGTCTCCCCGGCGTCTGCTCATGGCCCGAGACCCTCCATTCTCAGCCACCTCCTGGGTTTGGTGCAGAAGATCTGGAACAAACAGCACCCTCCCGGAGCCGCACATTCGGATGGCGCCTGAGCCCTGCGCAGACGTCGGGGACGCCAGCACTCAGCCTCTGTTCTCGCGCTCTCCTTACGCGGCTTTCAGGGAAAAATGTGAAATACAGATTTCAGTGGGTTTTTTTTCCTGCCAAAAATACGAGTTGGCTGACATTAACCATATATTTTTTAAGACAATTCTCCAAGAACAAGTAAAATAGATGTTTCCAAAGACTAATTTCTTTAACAGAAAAGTTTGTCATAAAGTTGCTGAAAAGTTGTTTCTTTAACAACAACAGAATTAGAAAATGCTTCCTTCTCTCCTCTCCTCCCTGGACTCTGGCCCGTCCCCTTTTCCCCTGCACTGGCACGTGGGCTCTTTGTTTTTCGCCGATGAGCTGGTTGAAGTGGGAGTTGGTTAATTCACTCATTCGATTACTCCCGGGACAACTTGGGGGTGCGGGCTTCCTGCGTCAGGCCAAAGAAGCGCCGGCAGCAGTCACACCGCTGGCCTTGGGGTCCCCTCCCCAGGCGCCGTGGGCTGTGGCATTCTCTTCGTTCCCCATAGTCACCTCCCCGTCTGCGGGCTGTACAGCTCCTCCCCGTGCGGAACCTCCCTGGGCCCTTGCCAAGCCCGCCACACCCCAGCCCCGCCCGGGAACAAGATCTCCGGGTGCTGCAGGGGGAAATCTGTCCCAGAGCACGACGCAGACCGTGGGAAGCAGGAAGGGTCACAATGAGACTCCAGAGGGGCCCAAACCCATGTGCGCTAGGGGGGCAGAGCAGCCCTGCCCGAGCCTCGGTGACGGAGGAGCCAGGTGCCGGGACGCGGGCGCCAGCCTGCCTGCTTGGAAGTCATTCCTCGGCCTCTTACTCCATGTCTTGGGACAAGTTGCTTAAGCTTTCTGTACTTTATTTGCTTCGTCTTTGAAGTAGGAGTCATAGATGTGCCTATTTCGTAAGGTCGTCATGAGGGTTACATCGATAAGAAACGAGACGATCCTCAGAACCCGGCACGTCATAAAACTCATAAATATTAGCCGCTATCAGCGTCATCCTCATCGTTGTCACAGGTTGAACTGTGTCCCCCTTGAAAGATGTCGAAGTCCTAACCCCCACCCGGCCCACACCTGTGAACGTGACCTTATTTGGAAACAGGTCTTTGCAGATGATGTCTCTGGTGTGGACTCTAACCCCGTATGGCCGTGTCTGTACGGTAAGGCGGGGAGACTTGGACACGGCGACAGACGCTGGCAGAGGGAAGACAAGGGAAGCTGGGAGAGAGGCATGGGACGGATTGTCCCTCACAGCCCTCAGAAGGAACCAACCCTGGCAACACCTCGATCGTGGACTTCCAGCCTCCAGAACCGTGAGACAAGAGGTTTCTGTTGTTTAAGCCGCCCACTTTGTGGTACTAGGACACTAACACAGTCTTCATCGCCACCAACAGCGCCCACCTCTCCGTGTGCCTTCTCAGGCCCCCCAGAGGAGCAAAGGGCTCCCTGAAAGGGGGAGAATCCTCGATACTGAGGTCACATTACTGCATCGCAAAGCGAGAGTGTGACGCAGGTCAGTTCGGCAGCAAGGCAGCGGCTGGGCTCCGCCGTTCTCAGGGCCCCGTTGTCAAAGGTTCAGCAGACACAGCCCAGCTGTCCCGCAGGCCACCCTTCCCAGACTGTGCACCCCTGCTTCCAGGACACTAGCGTCAGGTGACATTCCACTGGCTGCCTTTGCTTCGCGGTACTCCAGTGCGTGCCCTCCCCAAGAAATCTGTTGCGTTTTATTTCTCATCATGCAATACCCTGGGATTGGCTTCCCTAATTGCCTGTGGTGTGCTTGCCCCCTCCTGTCGTTAGGTAATTGTGCTGTCCACACGGCTGCTGAAGCCACTTAACATTCCGGAGCTGTTGTTTGCGACTGATCGCCTGCACCCAGACCTTGGCATCTGAGCACCAGCCAGGAAGATAAGCGCCGCCCGAGCTGGAAATAGCAGTCGAGCGCCCAGCAGCGTTCCAGATGCACCTCCAAAGCCAGCATCCCCGCCACTAATTGCGGTATGGCTGAATTTTGCCCAAAGCGTCTTGATAACCACACAGCAAGGTACTTCACTTGCATTTCTGTGATTCTTAAAAAAAAAAAAAGTGTTTTTTCATTTCCCTGAAGGTATCAAGCTGTCTTTCAGCTGGCTTAATTAGGGATAATTTCCATTCTTACTTAACCCTCCCTTTGTGATTTTCCTCATTGCACCTGCAAGTTCCTTAATTCTAAATAAAAGCCTGTTGGCAGGTGTCGGTAGATTACAAGTCTTTTGATTTGAGGTTGCTCCAGAGGTTACACATGCTTTAGAATCATGAGTGTGAGGAAAGTTTGATGTTCCTTAAGATGATATGACTGAGGAGGGAGCATTGCAAATAGGGTCTGAGGCTCTGTTTCTCTCTTGATCTGGAACATTTCTGAAAAGGCAGGGCGGGGTGGCGGCCGGGGCAGCGCTGGTGTCTGTGTGTGTTGCAAATCATTGCGCCGTAACAAAGGGCTGCATTGTCCCAGCTTGCTCAGTGCCAGGTCTGCCAGGCTGCTCGGAATGGCGGCGGGACAGAGGTGGATCGGAAGGCCATCTTCGCCTATGAAAGGTCTGCTCCCCTCCAAAGGAAGGCCCCAGTACAAGATATCTGGTCCCAGGCATCTAAGTTATAATGGCAACCCCTGTGGACTTGGTGATTTCGAGTTTTTGTTGAAATATAATGCTTTCTTTTCTGTAAGCTTAAATTTTCCTTCTGACCGTAGCAGGAAAACCTTGACCCACCCAGTGAAATTATATAAGAACTCCTGGGAAAAAATGAACTGCTTAGAACCCACGTATTTGTAGGTGTATGGTTGCTGGGAATTTCTGGCATCTCTAAAAGATACAATAAAGAGATGAAACCGAAGAACAGTTTCTATTGTGGATTATACAGGTGAAGGAAAACGTAAAGCAAAACACATGTCTCTGCATTTTAGTTCTCTACAAAATACTGTCATTTTATGAAAAAACTGTGAAGTTGGAAATTGCTCTGAGATGTAATCAAAGCAGGGTTTTTATGGACGCAGGCATTCTTTTTCTTTCCCAAGTATGTTTTTCATGAACATGGATTCTTTCATGGTGCTGAGATATAGGGGACCTCAGTTGCTTTTTTCAATCTACTAATCTGAAAGTCTTGAATTTAAATAAGGAAGAAAATGGCAATCATCCAAAATAAAATTAAAGCAGAAATTACTCTTTTCTAAGATAAAAAAATTAAAAGTGACCTGCTATGTGACTCAAATCTGCATTCATTCATTCATTCCCAAATACTGAGTGGGCACCTGGCCCATTCCAGGAACTCTGCTAGGTTCTGAGCCGGTGCAGCGAATGAGCAGACATGTCCCCGACTCTGTGGCACTCAGAGTGAGCAGCCGGTGCCTGTCCTCATGCTCAGGCCCTGTGCAAGTGTCTACTGAAGGTGACGTTGTAAACCATATGCCCACATGCAAAGGAAACTGCCTGGAAATATAAAAACCAAAGCACTTGGTTACCTCTGGGTAGGAGTATGAAAGGGAAGGCTAAGGAAAGAGGGAGTCTCATTCCCAATACATTTCTGTATTGTTCCCATTTTTTTATAGCAAACATGCATTTGTGTATTACTTCTGTGACTTTATATTTTTACAAGTTAATTTATTTTAAAAAAGAATATTCGAAATCTTCTAATCTGAAATGGTAAAAGGAGGAAGTTATTGATTATAAATGGTATCATTCAATGGTTATTAAGTCTTGAACATGCTCTCAATATTGTATTAAATATGGCCAAAGGCAGACTCTGAGCGGTGGGAGAAATGTCACAAGTTTGGTTTATGGTCGTGTCTTTTCCATCTCTGTGTGGCTGGTGGAAGGAGCTGAGCCGGGCAGGCAGTAGGAGGCCTGGGAGAAGAGGTGAGCCGGAAGAAGTGTGTGGTAACCAGACTTTGGTTGGAAGAAGCAGGAGGCACAGGACAGAGCACTGCTCTTTGATTAAAAAGCAGGAACATGATAGAAATTTGATATAAATCCTGCAAAGGGCCTTCAACAAATAAGGGGAAAGAGGGAGGCTCAGGAAATGGAGCGTTATCTAGCAGAGCCTTCTGGAACCTCTCTGGTGCTGCCAGAGGGGCTGGAGGAGAAGCCAGTCGGTTTCCGCCCACTGCAAAAGCACCATGGGCTTGCGTCCCAGTTCCGCCATCAGAGCACTGCGGATCTCTCCCAGCCTCAGTGTCCCCATCTGGAAGATACAGAGAACAATGGCACCTGCCCCATGGGAGGGTTGCTATAGAGCCACCCGTAACACAGCGGCCAGCCTGGGACTCCCAAGGCATGAGGGTTTTTAATGCTGAGGACACCAAGGAAGTTACTTACAAAATGATAACCTGTCAACAGGAGAATAATATTAAATGAAGACAAGATTCGGAGGTACTCCTAGGGTGCACCAGGAGATAAGAAAATGGAAGAGGAATAATACTTTGGTCCAACATACTTCCAAGACAATATGGCCCAGAGGTCAGGAGCAGTGTCTGGAGCCGGATGTGATGGCTGGATTCCAATCCCACCCCTTTCCCATAATAGTCCACTTCTCCTGGTCTTAGTTGACCATGAAGTAGGACCCACCACATTGGGTTTGGAGAAAATTAAGAGTTAACAGATGTAAAGCTCTTAGAACATGGCGCATGGTAAGCTCCTTCAGAGCGTGTAAGAGTCACCACTGTCGGTAACAAAGTCTGATGATTGCTCACACAGGGCCATATGTCTCCAGTAGAACTTTCTCCATCACTAACGTTTGCCACAAAGTAGTTGTGTGGAATCTGAGATCGACACACTGATTTACCATTTCGATCTCATCCAAACTTCCCCATTCCAAAGGGGTTCCCTCCCACACCAGATGTCAAGCCACCTGAAGGTGACTTAAAAGGCCAAGCTGAGTGGTCGTGCTGGTGTCCCCTGTCTCAGGCCTGGGTATGAGCGGTTGCCACCTAAACTCTGGCGGGCCAGAGCCAAAGCAAGCTCATGCTAATGCAAACCTTCTGCCAAGCACCTCACAGGCCCCACTCTTTTTAAACATAATTGACGGAGGTGTAAATGCTTTGTAGCAATTGACTTCTGCCTCTGTAAACTCTCTTCTGGAGTCCACTTCCCAAGAAACGTACCGGGCACAGCAAAGAGTTTGGAAGTGCTCCAGGCTGCATCTGCCAAGCATCCCCAGAGGCCCAGGGCCTATGCAAATGGCTCTGTTTAGGCCACCCCTCCACTACAATGGGCTCCCAGTAACAGAGAATTCCATCGAGCTCCCTGCAGGGCTGCTATTATTTATTTTACCCTGGTTACCAGACACAGAATCTCAACAACAAATAATCCAGTATTACAAATGTCTGCTGTCCAGCCCGAGGAAACATCAAGAGACTCCATCTCTGTTTTAAAAGGAATTTAAAAAGACAAAACCAGATGATGGAGGGTTTGCAGACCATTTGAGAAGGAAGCATGGGGCCGGGGTGGCTGGGATCTTGCCACCATCTGTAATAACCCTAATCCTATTCTCTTCTCAAATTTAGGAGAGTAATGAGGACAGGAAGAACTTTCTGGAACTGTCTCTCTTTAGACTTTAAAGGTCTAAAGCTGGTGCAGAGAACACCAGCTTTCCTAGTTCACTTCTCACAGCCGGCCGAGCTCTCTAATTCCTTTTGGGAATTGCTGAGTTACCGGAGACTGCGGGGTGGTTGGCACTTGCCCCTTGGAGCAAAGGCAGGAGGATCACAGAGTCACCAGCTGCTCACTGGGCAGGATTTGCCCACAAGCTTGTTCATCTGCCCAGAAAACACATTTGTTTTCTCCCCCTGGGGGTGTAAGATGAAGGTCGAAATCCCACTTTTCACCAAAGCCCAGATCACTGGAAATACATCCTCGCTCCCAAACCTGGGCTTGGGGGCAGGCGGCGCCTCGTAGATGCGGGAGCCCGGGGCCGCCAGGCGGCTGCGAGTGTTTTTGATTTGAGGCGGGGAGCAAACCGGAAACCCAGACAGCACGACCAAGGGGGTCTGGGTCGGCTTCCGAGACCCACCCTCCCTGCCGGGCGTCGGGGGCTCGGAGCGGGCGCGGCGGCTGATGGCAGCAGCAGATGTGGCTGCGGCCGGGCCTGGCTGGGACAGGCGGGGAGCCCACAGGAGACAGCAGGGCAGGGGTGCGGCCAGGGCAGGGCTGCCCGAGGTGGAGCCGGAAGCCGTGCCCATCGCCCGGGGCTTAGGTGGTAGCAGCAGACAGACCTGGATGGAGCCCTGGACCTGCCACCTGGTGGGGGGCCAGCCGGTGGATGCCTCTGAGCCTTCCTCTGCCTTTTCTGTAGTGGCCGCTTTGTGGCCAACTAAGTTATTTCAAACACCTGCTGACCTCCGGGGCCTGGCACACAGATTTTCAATAACTAGACACAATCATTGTTACTCCCTGTGTGGCCCTAGGCAGGTAATTTCATCTCCCTGAGCCTCAGTTTCTTCGTCTTTAAAATGGAAGTGATGTTCACTTCTGCCACAGGAGTCTTCAAAACACTGAAGGAGATAATGCATCATCGGGCAGGTTGTAAATGTTCAATAAATTCTAATCCCTTCCCCTTCCTGCCGTCCTGTACCCCAGACACACACGTCCTGGGCGGCAAAGGAGGCCCAGGCGGGAGAGGGTTGCTCCCCCGTGCCAGATGGTTGGAGGTCAGAAGTTTTCAAAAAAGCAAAACAAAACAAAAACCGGGATTAAATGAAGAGATGAGATGAGCAAAAGTAATAAAACATATGAGAAGAAAACAGTGTGTATTCCAGATCTATAAATAGTCAAGTCAGCTTGCGACGGTGGACAGAACTGGGGCTTGGGTGATTTCCAGCTGGGACTCGCTGTCTCTGTGAGCGTGTACGTCTCTGTCTCTGTCTTTGTCTGTGTCTCTCTCTCTCTCTCTGTCCCCTCCCTCTCTCTCCCAGAGTGGCCTCGAACAAGCCACTTTATTCCTCTGGGAGGACTAGGGCTCTGGGACCCCTTCCAGCCTGGTGGTCTAGGATGAGGTGTGAGAGGCTGCGGCCAGCGCAGGGCAGGGGACGGCGGGGCCAGCAGGGGAGCGGGCACCGGGCGCAGCTCAGCGAGAGCAGACAGAGCCCGCACGAGGTCTGCAGACTGGGAGCAGGTGGCAGGACGAAGGGAGGAGTGTGCCAGTAACACACGGACGCGGGTGCCGCTGGCACCTTTGAGCACAAAGCCACCCGCAGAGGAAAACTCCTGTCTTCTTTACTCCCAAAACGTGGGTAACAGACCACGGGTAAGTCTATAAAGATTAACTTCTCACTCATTGGGCATCGTTAACGCAATCACATGGGCTGATTAGAAAGGAAAGTGAGCAGGATCCAGCTGGAGATGCTTGTCACTGCCCTGGGACTGAGATGATGTTAGTTTCAGGGTAGCACCGTTTCCCTCCCTGCCCCCGACACCCACACCCTCCTCAGAGATGAGGCCAGGCTGGAAGGACAGAAAATTACCTGCATGCCAGGAAGCTTTGGGGCATCACCAGAAGCCCTGCCGAGCAGTCAGGATGTTTGGCCTGTGGGGAAAACGACTTGAAGGCCCGGCACGGTGCCACCGCAGGCCCTCGGTCGCTGTTCACCTTGGCTTGCTTCCTGCAGCCACCTGCCCCGCAAACGCAGCCGTGATCTTCCTTAGGAAATGTGAGAAAGGAGTAAGCATGTTGAACACGGTCAGAAGGCGTTGGTTCGAGTCCTTCGTGTGAACTTGAAGCCCCCACTCAAAACTCCGAGCCTGTTCCCTTCATCTGTACAGGGGTGTCAGGACCTCCCCACCCTCCTCGCGGGCTCCAGTGAGGTCAGGTCTGTGACAGGGCTACGCAGCTAAATGTAGAGTGACTGCTCATAAAGATGGCGGCTTGCTCAGCTTGCGTGAAAGGTCTTCCAGGCCCAGATGGCAGCTTTAGCGTGGACAACTGTGACTAAACCTCCATGGGACATGCTCTGGAACAGCCCCAGATCAATGGCTGCAAGCCCCCACAGTGAGAATAAAGTGAATCTTTTGAAAGCAGCACACCCGAAGCAGAGGTTTGCCAAACAACACGTGTATGAGGCAGCAGTCGGCTTGTGCAGAAGCATTAATACCCTCGAGGCTTTGCTGAGAGATGTGTGGAGCCCGACATTTGTCTGGGGTTTACCTGGAAGACCATGCAGGAAATGGACAGCTGCGCTGCTCTTGAATATAAAGCAGCAAGTGATTTAACGTGTTCTGTAAGCCTGTTTCCTCATCTGTAAAAAGGGGATAATAGAACACACCTCACTGGATTGTTGTGAGACTTGAGACGAAACCCCTGGAAGGCATAATGCCTGCCTCAACTTGCCAATAAACACAAATACTGGGTGTCTTTTGAAGGGCAGAAGGTTAACGTTTCAATAAAGACCAAGTCAGACATCTGCTCTTTTAAAATGAGATTTATTGTACATAAAATAAATTAATGACAATTTAAGCCAAAGCATGAGTGGCTTCTTAAAGTGCATCTGTGTCGGGGATTTGGCAGGTAGCGCCTGCATCTGTCTGTCCGCTCGCTGTACGACGGTGTTTCTGTATTTCAGCCACCCACGGGCACAACTCAGCCAGGCCTAGGAAGCAACCCAACGTCATAGCCATGAGCCATTTACACAAATCACACCAAAATCAATGGACACACTTCTTTCTGTACCTGATGCAACACGTTAAAAACAAACAAATTATACAGTCTCACAATTAGTCAAAGCCTGGGGTTGAAGAGTTTGAGTTCAAATCACCCAACGCACACCCAACACCTGAGCATTATCCATCCTGTCGGGAGGAAGCGGCACCTTCCTGCCAACCAGGCGAGCCCATCAGTGTCTGTATAAAGAATATTGTGGCCCATAAACTTGACCTTTTTTGGGGGAGGGGCATTTTCCTTCTTATTCTTAAAGCAAGAAATCTGGATATCCTTTAGGTTAGAGGGGTGTTCTATAAGAACGGTGTTCCAGAGATTCAAATCATACTGAGAAAAGCAACTCTTCCTCTTGGGGGAACAAAAAGGAAAAGAAAAAAGAAAGAAGGGAGAAAAAAGAAAATCTGTGAATACTTAATCTGTTCTTTCATCCCACCGTAAATCACATGCATATATTTGGTGAAACTACAACTGACCATCATTTACAAGGTATTTAGGAGCAAAAACCAAAGCAATCATACCCCTCCCCACTCCAAAGGAAAAGACACAGAGGACATTTCACACATTCAGAGAGTGGCTCGGTGGGCTCTTTCAAGCCTCGTCAGTTCCGTCCCCCTGCTCGGAACAACGCTTCTTTTTCTGTAGCGGTTCCATAAGCCCTCTTGGCCTTTCTGCTCCAGCCCTTTCTGGAACCATGAATTACCGACAGCATTCAATGTTCCTGCACTGGAAGAACCTCGGGCCCTCTTCCTGGAGAGACCAAATCCCCTTGAGTGCCTGTTTCAGACGGAGGTGACAGTCCTCACTTTGGCAGAGAGCGCCTGCTTGAACCTCCTCTTCAGGTCCTGCATGTTGGGTGACTTGGGCCTGGGAATGAGGGAGCTTCTTCGCTTCTCAGGCGTGCTGCTAGGCTGCTGTTTGTGACTGACTGCTTTGCACAGGACGTGGAAGGCGTTGTAGACGTCGTTGTAATTTTCGCTGACGGACACTTCATAGAATAAGCAGCCCAGCATGCTGGCCAGCTGCAGTCCGAGCTGAGGGTCAACCTGTTTGACGTGCAACAGGTCAGCTTTGTTGGCCACGACCACCACGGGCAGGCGGGTGCCCGGGTGCAGCTGCTGCACGTGCTGGTGAAGCTGGCCAATGAGTTCATAGCTCTTGTGGTCCGTGATGGAGAAAACCATCACCACAGCATCTGCCCAGCGAATGCACCTATTCAGCTGTTCGCTGCAGCCCAAGGCGTTCTCATGGACCTGAAACAGAGAGGCGATGGCAAGGTGAACGGCGGCCAGTCCCACAGAGCCCTGGCTTGGGTGGATTCGATTTCAAAAGAGCCCTTCACAGTAATACTGGGTTGCAGGCCATAAACAAGTTATATCCCCACACACTTCGGCTTTCTTGACAATATGTTGATCCAGCTGCAGAGAGTTGGAATAAATAACAGTGCAGCTCGCCACACTCAAGTGGAAAATTGACCTGCAGAGAACTCCACGCAGAGAGACTTTGTAGTTGCACAAAATGGGAAATTAACTGGCTAGACAGTAAGTCTGGGGAAGTAAAGATAGGAGCTGGAAGCATTTAAACCTGGATAACTGCCCAGTTCAGGAAGGGGAAAAAAAAAAGAAACCCACTAGCATGGCTCTTTTGTCCATAGAGCAACTTTCCACAATATAAAAGCGATTCCAAGTATTTGGAGACTGTGCCTAGATGTTTGGTTTTGAATGCCAAAGACACATATGTAAAAACTGACCTTTTTAACTATAGCAAGGAAACTGCCAGTTCCAAGCGTGTTTGGTTTGGTCTTTCCTGCTGTGTTGAATCCTCCTAAGGGAAGATTTCTGCCCCTTAGCCAAATCTCCCCAGTTAAGCCAGGCTAAGATTGACCGACAGCCAGATACGAGTGAGGTGTCAAACAACATTTAAAAGTCTAGACTTGACTCCCCAGATTCCTCTCCTCCTTCAGCACGAGAGACTTCGAGAACAAGTGAGCAATTCCACAGCCATGGAGGGTCCCCTTTCGCCCAGCATCTCAGAGCGTCTCACCTGGATACCTGGAGTGTCTTGAACCTGAATAGCCAGGGTTTCACCTTCTATCTGAACTTGTCTGGTATAGAGATTACCTGTGAAGACCAATAAAAAAGGTTATGTTTTTCCCTATTGTACTTTTAAACATTGTGGATTTTTTTTAAGTTAGAGGAAAGAAATGTAGCCTACACCAATGCACAAAAAGAAGCTATAGTTTATTTCTATTTAATGGGCTTACTTCAGATTTTTTTAAAAACCGATTGCAATCTTAACCCCATGTTAGTAGATTTATTAAAACTAGGGCAAAGTTTGCAAGTTTTGGAAACTTCCTTGTCTATTTTTAGACGGGAGTTTCTATTTTTAGAGCACTCCCTTGATGCAAATTTTCTTAGAATGTATGAGGTTTCTGTTTTATTTTGGTACTTTATCATTCTTTGACCATAACTTTATATTTGGCCATTAAATATAATGGCCTTGTAGACAAATATTGTTAGTAAACACACCGCCAATATTATCCGTTGGAATAAAGATGTGACATAATGATCATCTCTACATCAAAGCAGAAGGCTACCACGTCTTATCTTATACAGCTCATTTCAAATAATCCCCTATAGGTACTTCATATGGTCTACAGATTTAAGCAATTTGCTAACAGCACATAGCTAGAAAGCCCTAAGCCTCCCCAGTGGCTATGCTTAATCATAGGGATTGAAATACTTTTCCTCTCATTTATTCAGGAATTCTCCTCCTAAAATTCTACCATCTAGTTATTTTTCTTTGTTAAGAAAAGAGAACTTTAGGTTTACAACTGCTCTCCTTTGGCCTTTGCTTTAAAAGGTCACCTCTGAAAGGCAGCCAGCAGAGAGGGAGAGGGGTGGGGGGAGGAGCTGGTCATCTTTTTTTATGACTTTTGCAGGAGTGTTTTGAAGGGAGCGGCTCTGGAGTACAAAGGGTGCTTCCAACTGGGGTCCCTATAGTTAAAACATACCAGGGGGATACTTTGAGGCTCTTGATAAAATGATGAATGGGCTTGGGATGGAATGAGGCCAGATGGCAGTTGTGGGTTGGGGGGAGCTCGGAGGGGCACTCAGAGTTGGAAGTGGTGAGATCCTGACGCTCAGACTGTCACTCTGAGGAAACCTGCCTGGGAGGTACTGGGAAAAAAAAAGGGAACAGCAGTACTCCTACAAGATGAGTGTTTTCCTCAAATGCATTTCCTCACCTGCATTTCTTTCGTAGTCACCGATGAACCGTTTGGTGAGGAACCGGACCACCAGTGCTGCAGGTCAGAGAAAAGAAAGGAAAGAGGGTCAACCCTGAAAGTTAGAGTGATTTCCACCCCCACCCCACCCCCCAGCCTGGAAACCGCTCTCCCAAAGAAAGCCTTAGATGGCCACCAAGTGAAATTCCTACCCTGCAGCTCCTTGACCCTCCTTCCAGACGCAACGGAGGGGGCTAGAAGGCGCCGTGAGTTACGGCTCTGTCCAGCTGGAAGGGTCATTTGGCTAACCCCCTGCTCGGAGCCCGGCTGAGCCACACCTAAGCCTTCCAGCAGGCAAATGTCCTCCTAACCTTAAAGATCCCCGGGAGGGGTTACGTTCGCTAACTCCCCTCTCCGTGCCAGGCACTGCCAGAGTCTCGAAAACCCCGAAGTTTGAATCGCATTGTGCCGTGCTGCCCAGACGGTCGCCTGGCCATTCTGGGTCTCAGTGTCCCTCATCTGTTGAGGCGGGGGGTGGCAGCGGCGATGGTGAAGGTCCCTCCCGGAGGGGCAGCGGATCACCAGGAGGGGTCGCCACGTCCGGCCCGGGGCCGGGCACTCACCCGTCTTGCCCACGCCGCTGGCCCCCACCACGGCGATCTTGACCAGGCGGCGGCCCGCGGCGGCCAGGCAGCACTCGGCGGCGGCGCTGCCCGGGGCGGGGTACTCGGCGATGGTGCACATGTTCTGGATGAGGCGCATGGCCGCTCCGGCCGGGGCTGCGCGGCGCGGGGGCGGGGTGCGGGCGGGAGGACCCGACCCGGGGGCTCCGCGGCAGGAAAATCCCGGTAACAAAGACAAGCACCGCCGCGCGCCGGCCGCGCCGCTCGGAGGGGCTCAGGCTGGGGACTGAGACTGGACCCGGGCGGCGCGCGCGCTGTTTTCTCCGGGGTCGGGCCCGCCCCCCGCCGCCCTCGGCCAATCGCGGGGCGCCCTGCGCGAGGCCCCGCCCCCGGCGCCGCTCCGCGCGCTCAGCGTCCCCTGGGGCGCCCGGAGCCGGTGCCGGGCCTGGCTAGGCGGGGAGCGGGACGGCGGGCTGGGTCTCCTGCGCGGCCACGGGGCCGGTGCTGTGGCTGCGGGGCTGGAGGTGCCTCGGCTCCCAGGGAGGGCTCGGCCCGGGGCAGGCGCGGCCCCAGTCTCCGAGAGCCGTTCCCGGACAAATGCCCCCACCCCGGGTCCCCCCGCCCACCGCCCACTCTGCCGCCGCCTCGCTCCCCATCCCCCACCCTCGCGGAACCTGCTGGGGCGCCCCGGGGTCTGCTGCCTGGCGTCGTGCCTGGCTCCTTAATTTGGAGGGAGGTGGCACTGACGGGTGCATCCAGGGTGGCATCCGGATCATAGATTTGGATACAATTACAATTATCAACCAAGCCCCCAACACCACCCCCTTCAAATGTGACATTTGACTTTGGGGGAAAAAAACACCCATTGTGCTGTAGACCCACGTTCTCTGGCTCTTGTCTAGGGAGCAAGCTCACGTGGACACACACATGGCCGGGCACATGTACAGCACACCCGGAGGCGAATCAAGAAGTAATTATAGAAGGAGCTTTCTGGAGCTTCACACACAGTCGCACCTCCTCCAAGAACTGTGAAATGGAAGGAAAACAGTTGCGCCAGCTGCGACCTCTGAAAGGGCCCACGCATAGTCTCTGGTCATCAAGAGTTAGTTAAGTGGCTTGATACCAAGGAAGCCGTGGCTTCTGCACTCACAAAATGCCAAGCTCCGGCCCTTACTTTTTCACCAGGGAATGCACCTTCAATGGCAGGTCAAATTCCTCCTCCAAGCAACGTTCTGCAGCTGGAAATGATGGCAGAGTATGTCACCAGAGACTCAAGCTCACCACCCTCATACCCAATCCAGCCCCCTCTCCCCCTCTTCAACCCTGTGGGCCCCCAAGTGTCCCAGGGGCTTTTATGCTGGGGTATGACAACGAAGTCTGTGGCTTTGTGTCCATGCCCACATTTAAGGTTAAAATGTATAAGTAAAACAAACCCCATTCCCTTTTCTACACAACAGACTTGTGTTTGACCCCCCTTTGCACCCTGGACTTAATTCGTCAAATTAAATACATACCTACCTCTCGCCAGGTATTTGACAGAATTTATGATCCGGACCCAGTTCAGACTCTGAGAGGAGCCCTCCTGTCTATAAAGGTTTAGGTGTTTGCAGGAATTCAAGGGGAAATAGAAAGGAAACCTCAAACTGCTTTAGTAGCAAATCTTATAGGATGAGCAGCATAATTAGCAAGGCACACAGCCTTACAATAAACATAATAAAAGGTGGACTTGTAGGAAGATCACTAGAATGAAGTAAGTTCAACCATCGGAGTCAAAAAGAAAAAGAGCATTTTCAATATGCATGTCTTTCTTCCTGGTTTAAATCAGACTAGAATGTTGGGTCTATAAAATCAAACTTAGCAAGAGTGTAATTACAGGTAACCACGTACTTTTTAAACCCTCCCCCCACAAAAGCTTGCAATGCTATTATGCTTACATGGTAAGATAATTATGTAGTGTAAAGTATCAGTCCCCAGCTTTTTTTGGTACCAGGGACTGTTTTCATGAAAGACCATTTTTCCGTGGATGTGGGGTGGGGGGATGATTTAAGCACATCACATGTATTCATTTCATGCACTTCATTTCTATTATTATTATAATACATTGTAATATGTAATGAAATAATTACACAACTCACCATAGGCTGGGGACCCCTGGTCTAAAGTGTTTGTTTAACTCCTTTTTACGCACAGACACACACACATTCACACAGACATGAACAAGAGTTGTCAAGGGGAATTTTGCTCTGAGTCTTTTTACCTTCTAGGGCTTGATTTCCATTACCATAAGCCTGTACCAAACCTATGATTTTTCTGTCTGCAACACAAAGGCTGAATTTGGTATTCTTATTTTAGGTCTAAGAGATCTGGCTATGCTTTAAAGAACACAGAGAGGAAAGAAACAAGAAAGATGGAGAAAAGAAATAAGTAAAGAAATAAGAGCTATTCAAATTCCAAACATCTAGCATAGAGCCCATCTCCACCCCGCCTACCTCAGATGATGACACTGAAAGTTACCCCTTCTTGGAAAGTCATAGAACTTAAAGAAGGAAGGAGCCGGGGCAGGAGAAGCGATATCAAGGTTATCGGAAGGGCTAGAGTATACAGGCTGCAGAACTGGCCCACACATGGAACCTCTTCCATAATCAGGGGAATCCAGAGGCTGCCTCTGCAGCTCTCTCTCAAAATCCTCAAAGCCAGACACTGGACGTTGAACAGTTGCTGCAGAAAAGCCCACTATCTCTACAGTCGCGCCCGGCAGCAGAAAGCAACCAAGCAGCACAAAGAACCCTTCCTCCTGGCAGGGGTGTTGATAGTGGGAGAGGCTGTGGGGAATGGGAGTTGGGGACCTATGAGAAATCTCTGTACCTTTCACTCAGTTTTGCTGTGAACCGAAAATTGCTCTAAAAAATAAAGTCTATTTTTAATTTTTTTATACAGTGTTTCACTCTATTGCCCAGAGTAGAGTGCAGTGGCATTATCAGAGCTCATTGCAACCTCAAACTGCTGGGCTCAAGCAATCGATCCTCCCACCTCAGCCCCCGAAGTAGCTGGGACTACAGGCACATGCCTCCATGCCTGGCTATTTTTTTCTATTTTTTGTAGAGACGGGGTCTTGCTATGTTGCTCAGGCTGGTCTCGAACTCCCGGCCTCAAGCGATCCTCCCACTTTGGCCTCCCAAAGTGCTAGGATTACAAGCATGAGCCACCGTGCCTGACCTAAAGTCTATTTAAAAAAAAAAAGTGTAGGGTATCTAGTCCAGCTCCTCCTCTGAGTTGCTGAATCCCTCTTACAACATCCCTGCTAAGGGATGGTCCAACCTACACCAGAATACTTCCTGTGGCGGGAAGTCCCTGTCCTCCCTCCACAGCGCGTTCCGTGGAGCTGATCCCTCCTCTCCTATAGTGTCCTTCCAGAAGGACAGACTTTGGCATGCACACCAGTTCTCCAAACACCTGCTCCGCTGCTCCTTGGTCCCTTCCACCGCAGTTTGGAAAGGACCAGAAAGGGAAAGGGGAAAGGTGAGCCGGGTCGTGGGATTGTAAAAGGACAGCAGACACGGGCAGTGTGTCTCCTGCTTCTGTGTTGAGGACAACTTGTAATAAGCATTTTTTAACATTCAATTTTAAAAATTAAAGAGAACCGTGGCTCAGAAACAGCCTCTAGATTAAAGAGGGGAGCAGATTCATTTGGGGCTGCTTATTTTCTAAGACGTCTCTGAGTGTGGCATTTTGGACGGGACAGATGTAACAAAGCGCAACAGTGTTTTCATCCAGGGACTCTATGCAGCGTGTGTTAGACATCGTGCAGTCCTGTGCCTGCCCATGACAGAGAGCCGCGCTGCTACATAGTGGCTGCCCAAGCGTTGTTTTGTTTTTAACTGTCAACTTTCCTTCTAGTCGAGGCTGGACGGAAAGACAGCCAGAAATACTAGAGTCAAAAGGCAAGGTAGGAGGGAAGGCAGATTGGACTCAGTTAAATAAAGCGTACACACACACACCTTTTGCCCTTAGAAAGATCACCTCTTGACTAGAACAGTTTAACTCTGAGAAATGTAAGATCTTGAAGTTCCAGGAGGGGAGGGTGGGCCTCCTATGAGCCTCCCCTTCCCTCCCGCATACCTTGGTTGGTTTCTATGGCAGCAAAATGGCGCACATGACCCCCTTCCACACTCAGGAGGAAAGGAGAACTCGTGTTCTACAATTAAAGCCCCCTGCTACTCAATCGGATCTTATCTTTCTTTTTCTGGAAGGTTTCCTCCAACCTCTTTCTCCATTTCAATGTAATATATGAAACAAAGGTAAAAGAAAAGGCGAAAATAATTCTCTTTTTCATTCAGGGCAAAATCTGAGCTTTTCTCCCCTCAACGATGTGAGTGTTCATAGCCCCCGTCATTTTTCTGGGCACAGAGAACACCTAGTTGGTAAACAATCTCATGACAGTAGCTCAGAAGAAACGCAAGTTTTATACTTTACTTGGAACAACGAGTAAATTTCCACTGTGTTTTAATTGGAAGTAGGAAAAAAATCTCAGTGCCATTTCCCCAAAGCCTTTGGAACACCGAACTAGAAACTGACATTACTGCATTATTAATAAAGCCATTGTCGGAAGTTCCCTTAGTGAAAGGAAAAGGCTAATAATATGGCAGATGGGCAGGGGCAATGTTCCTTTGGATCGTTTTCTTGTTCTTTTCTCCAGTGGGAAGAATCTACAAGCCTGTCCATCTGTCCCTCCTCCCTTTAACCTCCCATTCGTCCAGAAGATGATGGTGCTGAACGAAATGAGTGTTGGCTTTGGACCGTAGGAATGAGTACTCTTGGGATACTTGACAAGATTTTGTGATCAGAAGATACGCACAAGCAGAAAAGGTTCAGATAAATGAGCCAATTGTTTAACAGACCCCTTTAGTTTCAAATTCCTAAGTAGATTAGACACTCCTAATACTTGCCCTCTAACTACCCCTGAGAGTGCAGAACAGGCCACCTAAGGGCATTTTAGGCATCTTTATTTGTCTTTGCATAGAAGGCAATGTCCTCCCCCCAGAGCTTCAACTCCTTAGCATGATGTTCCTAGCTAAAAGGAAATCAAGGTTTTCCATAAATATTCACCTATGACATGGGGAAAGAACAAGCTTCATTTTCTCCCGTGCCTCAAGTCACCAGCAAA